TGGAGCGTGTGTGGTTAACCGACACGTCGAATAGGTGACTGTAACATTGAGGGCACCATGTACATTTGCATAGTTATTTACACTCGATTTGTGATCCTCGGCATCCCAGTCACAAACTTGAGGGGCATATCGAGATTTAAACATGCCATTGAAAAGTTCAATGCATCTTAAAAGATCTAGGAATTTTCAATACACTTAAAACTTAGCTTTAACTTGTTTTTCATGGTGGAAATTAGTGAATCGTCATTCACTTACCTTCAAATTATTTACATGTTAGATTACGACATCCCTCTTCTAATTTGTAAATAATGTTGTTGGGTCCTAGCCCTAATTTCTCATTTGGGTGTTTAATTGGGGATTCATTTCTAATCAAACTTGTCTCTTTTCCTTTTCAGATGTCGAACGTCAACAACAACGCTTCCGGCTCAAATTCCTCTGGCTCGTTCTCACTCATGAACTTGTGTGGGAGAGTGATCTTTGACGGGTCCAATTTCAATGATTGGATCTGTAACATCCGAATGGTCACTCGTTACGAGGACAAAGAGTATGTCCTCGATGAGGAGCTGAAGGAAATAAACATCAACACTGCCTCTGCTGAAGAGATCGCGACCTTTGAGGCCCATGAGCGTGATGATACGAAATTCCATTGCATCATGCTAGTGACTATCACTGCAGAACTCCAGAAGTCCTATGAGGACATGTATCCCTATGAGATGCATCATGATCTGCTGGACCGGTACCACCAAAGCGCTAGGCAAGAAAGGTACGAGATCATCACTTCGATGATCACTGCCAAAATGGGTAATGGAGAGTCCCTTACTACTCATCTGCAAAAGATGCAGAGATATGTAGATCACCTGCTAAGTTTGAATGTGAACTTTGATGAAGAGCTGGAAATTGACATCATCCTTCACTCCTTGCCTCCCTGTTACAACCAGTTCTGCGTGACCAACCACATGAACAAGGAGGAGGTCACATTGAGCAAGCTTCAAGGCTTGCTGAGGACTGCTGAGAGAAACCTCAAAGACAAATCTGTTGCATCAACTCCTACTCTTACTACTGCCCCAGTCTTGGCAATTGGGCAAGGGATGCAGAATTGTTTCGCAATTGACGCCACCTAGGACACCACAGTTGAATGGTGTGGCTGAAAGTCGAAATCGAACCTTTATAGACATGGTTTGTTCCATGATGAGTCGTGCTTCGCTACTATCTCATTCTGGGGGTATGCCTTAGAGACTGCCTCCCATATCCTTAACTTAGTCCCTACGAAGAAGGTTGCCAAAACACCTCACGAGATGTGGACAAGGAAAGCTCCCTCGTTGGCACACATCAAGGTTTGGGGTTGCGAGGCTTTCGTAAGACGAAAGAATCATGACAAGCTCGAACCACATAGTGAGCGATGTATTTTCGTCGGCTACCTGCATAAGTCCTTTGGATATCTCTTCTATAGACCGAGTGACAACGTTGTCTTCGTTGCGAGGAGAGGGGTTTTCCGAGAGCGAGAACTCATAAGCCAAGGGGACAGTAGGAGACAAATCGATCTTGAAGAGCTTCAAGAGTCGAGCGATGAAGGAACCTCTAACACTGGCGCTCAACCCGAGGAGGAAACTACGATTGAACCTCTTAGACGCTTCAGTAGAGTTAGTGTTCTGCCCGTGTTGTATGGTTTTCATATAACAAGTGAGGGTGATACGTTTATTTGTAATAGTACACTAATACATTTGGATGAACCTAACAGCTACAAGGAAGACATGGCAGGCCCGGACTCTGCTAAATGGAAAGAGGCTACGGACAGCGAGATTCAGTCAATGTATGACAACCAAGTTTGGAATTTGGTTAACAATGTGCCAGGTCGTAAGACGGTCGGGTGCAAATGGATCTACAAGAAGAAGATCGACATGGATGGGAAGGTACACACCTATAAGGCGCGATTGGTTGCGAAGGGTTTCACTCAAACTCCCAGAGTTGACTATGATGAGACCTTCTCACCACTTGCGAAGATAAAGTCAATTAGGGTGATGCTGGCCATTGCTGCATTTCATGACTATGAAATATGGCAGATGGATGTCAAAACCGCTTTCCTTAATGGGAAGTTGGCTGAGGATGTTTATATGAGGTCAGCGAGACGGTTTTGTCAATGCGAAGCATCCCAATAGAGTGTGTAAGCTTGAGAAGTCCGTTTATGGACTAAAACAAGCATCTCGCAGATGAAATCTTTGTTTCGATGAGAAAGTCAAAGAGTTTGGTTTTCTACGAAGCGAGGATGAATCATGTGTATATGTCAAAGCCAGTGGGAGTATAGTAAGCTTCCTCGTGTTGTATGTTGATAACATACTACTCACAGGAAACGACATCCCAACCCTGAAGGAAGTTAAATCCTGGCTTGGGAAGTGCTTCACTATGAAGGACCTCTGAGAGGCTGCCTATATTTTGGGTATAAGGATAGTGAGAAACAAAAGTAAGAGACTAATAGGACTTAGTCAGAATACTTACAAGGACAAAGTACTAAAGCGTTTTAGTATGGAGAATTCTAAGAAGGGGGAGTTACCAATCCAAAGTAATGCCAAATTGAGTAAGACTCAAAGTCCGAGTACCGAAGTCGAGATAGCAGAAATGAGCTGAGTACCATACGCTTCCGCAGTTGGCTCGATTATGTATGCTATGACTTGTACTCGCCCTGATGTGGCCTTCGCTTTGAGCATGGTCAGCTAATATCAAGGGGACCCTGGCAAAACCCATTGGACCGCAGTCAAGAATATTCTTAAGTAGCTTCGGAGGACCAAGGAATGGTTTCTAGTCCTCGGTGGGAGTGATGACTTAAGGGTGCGAGGGTATAGTGACGCCAATTTTTAAACCGACAGGGACAACTACCGTTCGCAGTCGGGCTGGGTCTTTACTCTAAATGGAGGAGAATTGACTTGGAAAAGTTCCAAGCAGGAGACCGTAGCTGATTCAACGTGCGAATTAGAGTACATTACGGCGAGCGAAGCGTCAAAGGAGGAAATATGGTTGAAGAACTTCATTGGAGACCTTGGAGTTGTGCCAGCCATAAAAGAGCCAATGGAAATTTTCTGTAATAATGAAGAAGCGGTTGCCTTGACCAAGGAACCGAGGGATCATGGCAGATCTCGACATATCAACAGAAAATATCATTTTATTCGACATCGGGTGGAAGAAGGAATCCTCGTAGTGAAGAGGGTATCGTCAGAGGATAACCCAACATATCCCCTTACGAAGGGACTGAGTAGGGTTAAGCACTTGCAGCACGCTAGGATCATCGGGCTGAAGGAGGATATTAGTTTAGATTAGATAGTTTAGAAACGTGTAATAGATAAATGTAATTGACATTTGATGATTAAATAAAAGAGTATTATTTATAAGTAAAAGTTACTGTCTTATGTTAATTGTTTACCTATTGTTTCATTTTGCATGTTTTGACTTCCTGAATAAAAAGATTATTCGAATGTTCCACAGTCGCTCATACTTTGGGAGTAGGTATGAAAGAAGATTGTCATGAATTGGTTTGTAGATTGTCTAAAGTGTATTAGACATAGCAAAGGTTTGCTACAATGTTCATGAGTGCTTATAAATAAGTTTTGAGCATTGGATTAGACCCACGCTTGCTGGTATCACTTCATGGAATTTATCTCGAGTGATCGCGAGACGATAATATCATATGGTCTTAAAACCCAGATATATGGTTTATTGTTTGCAAGTTGGTTGTGCATTGATAATACATAAACGCATCAGTAACTTGATGTTATAAAATGCATTGTTGTGCATGATTTGATGAGTGAATGGTAGATGCATATAAGTCGAAGTTTATCTGTTCCTTTTATCCTAAAAGGGTAAAAGCGATATCTGGGCCCCTCGATGACTTGGTTTGACTTATGTGTCGGGCCCGGTCAGGACTGAATTGATGTGTTTAATTAAGTTCTATGTCAGACAAATCAGAGATCGAGAAACAAACTGCTAGACAATAAGTATAACTATGTTCCATGTATTTGTCTGCACGATGTCTAGAACAGAGGACTATACAATCCCTTGTCTAAAGGACATGTTACTGATATGATCAGAGTTCGACAGCGTCTTTGAGAGCTACGATTGCTAATCGGAATGTGCTTGCATTTATAGTTACTAGAATTATCCAAGTGGGAGACTGTTGGATTAGTGTCTAAACCCGTAACTATATTTTGTATGTCCTTAACCCGGTTGTGCATGGTCCTTTTGGGTTGCCTTCACCAAACCAACTTGATAAGATGATTTATGAAGAGAGAGGTTATTATGGTTTATTAATATATTATATGAATAATATATTAAAGGAGAAATCATATAGTTTAATTAATATTAGACAAGAATTAATTAGGAATTAATTATGTGGCTAAAAGACATTAATTAAATAAAGGGGACTTAAACTGTCAAATGTGTGATAGTTGAATATTGGGCTGGGAAGCCTTATGGACTAGGCATGGACGAAATTAAGGATGTGTCCATCTTAATTTCGGCCATGAGTGCCCTATTCCAGAAGCTTCCTTGGATTGCTTAAGGCCTAAGTTGTCCATTAGGGTTTTGACTGAAACCCTAGCAACACAAGTATATATAGAACCCCTAGGGCATCAGTTTTTTGACCACTTGAAACCCTAGAAGAGTTCATAGGTGAAAATTGTGCCTCTCCCCTCTCTCCAATATCATCCTCTTGCTTGTGTGGTGTTTGTAAGCCATTAGAGGAGTGGCATTTGTGACTTTAAGCTCCAAGACAAGAAGATTCAATCCATTGTTGAAGATGTAATCATCTAGATCTGTTTTGATATGTTATTTTCGAAACATACATGCTAGATCTAGGGTTCTTAAGTCTTGGATGAATTGCATGTTCAATAGAGAAACCTAGATCCAAGCTTTAGGGTTTGCATGAGCACATAGGATGTTCTTTTGTATAAAACCCATCACTCACATCCTTTTCTGACTACGATTGGGGTGGTGTCACCACACAAGGTTGCTCTATGATTGCTTATCTTGTGTACCTTGGCTCCAACATAATCTCATGGCGCTCAACTCGACAAAAATCGGTCTCTCGTTCATCGACGGAAGCTGAGTACAAAGCCTTGGCCAACACAGCCGCTGAACTATCATGGGCCAAAAATTTGCTTACGGAGCTTGGTATCTCACCTTCCTCGACACCTATTATCCACTGTGACAACACGAGTGCTACTTACCTCTGTGCAAATCCTATCTACCACTCTCGCATGGAACATGTTGCCTTGGACTATCATTTTAGTACGCGAACAGGTTTCTGCTGGCTCATTAAAGGTTCGATATATTCACACTTTGGATCAACCTACTGATGTCCTTACAAAACCATTGGGTCGAACCCACTTCCTCAAGTTTCGGTCCAAGATTGGAGTCTCTGACAGATCTTCCATCTTGGGGGCGTATCAAGGATATACCTAATCAACCTCAATTATAAGATCAATCACCTTCTCATCTACAGCTCATACATTCCATATATAGTCTCTTAATTGTAAATTGCTTGTTGTAAAATAGCATATATATGTATCGTCTTATACTCAATAAAATACAATTGATATTTGCATAAGAAGTATATTTGATTAGTCGTTCAATAAAAATTGTAGTAGCTTCATTAATTAAAAAACGTTGGGGTTTCTTTGATGATTTGTTGGTGTTTTGTATTCAAGAGTTTTTGGCCGCTTTGAGATGGCGTTCATGAACAAGTTTACGAGTGGAACATTGGATCTAAGAGATCATATGGGACTTCGGTTAACCCTAATTAGATGGAAATTGAAAGATTATTTGCCACGTTTTTTGTCACCAATTTCCTAAATAATTTGATTGAAAAGGACCTATGGAAGATGTTTGATGATTATGCCAAGGTCGCTATTGCCAGGAAATTGTCTAAGTCAGGGAGAAAGTTTGCGTTTGTGAGATTTTTGAACATAAAAGATGAGAAAATATTGGAGGCGTCACTTGGTGGAGTCGGGGTAGGCAATTATCATCTGTTTGTTTCGTTAGCAAGGTTCTAAGAGAGATCGTAAACCTATTCCTAAACTCGTTGGAGGTAATCATGTTCAGGAACCTAGAAAAAAACGTAATAACCACGGAATTGGGGCTGAAAATGTGCATAGAAACTCGTATGCCAACATTCCTAGAGGCTCTAATGGTGAAAAGAAACATGAGAAAGCAAAAACATTAAAAACAATTTCTCTTGTTGCAAGGTGTTGTTTGCTGATGAGGATCTTGATGAGCAATTAAGTAGTGGGAAGGTTTGTGTGGGTACTTTTCTATTAGACTTCATTAACGACAATCCAATTGTTGTTATTGAAGGCAAATCTTATGCTATTCAAGTCCGCGAAATTGCTTTGTGGTGCCCGGAAATAAAGAAGCCTAAAGGTGATGCTATAAATGACGGGGAATCTCAAAAACTAGAGAATGATTTAAGTGACGATGAAGATGCGGAGAGTATAGGTGAAGAGTCAGAAAATGAAAAAAATGATGACAGGATGAATCAATTTATACCTTATGATCCAATTTTTTATATTGATAAGTTTGTTGGGTTGAAAGAAGGTATTGTTGAGAATGTTTCAAGTGACCACGAGTTTTGTAATAAGGATCCAAATAGTGGGTCGGTTAATTCAAAAAGTCGATTCCTAACAAAGGAAATGCCATCGATGACGACCGTGGTCTCAATCCGGAAGAGTCAGTACCTTCTCTTGTGGAGAAAACTGAACATGTTGGGGTTATTGGTGTTGGTATAGGAGATGTTGGAGAAAAAGGAGATGTTGGAGAAAAAAGGGATGGATCTTGGGCGGATGAAAACTAACATAATTCAGGGTCTTTATATGCTCCACCAGGATTTAATGGTGTTAAATTCCACTCGCCAGAACATTCGAAGTCCGTCCCTTTAGAACAACCGTTCTCGGCTTTATATATCAAAGGTAATAATTTGAAAATATAAGGAAAAGCAAGTTAGTGTGCGTTCTCTTATGGAAGTTATGGAAAACTATATTGAATTTGGTAAAGCCCTGGGTTACGATTTCAAAGGGTGTAAGGAATATTTGGCTCGTATGATCGAAAGAAGAGGAGAACAAATTGGTTTTAAATGAATATGATGTCAGTTACTTTATGTGGTGTCAAATGCCACAATAAGAGAGGGTGGATAAAAAAACTTTGCATGGAACACTGTATTAGTGCGATGGGTATACAGGAGCCAAAATTAACTAGGTTAGACATGTTCTTGGTGAAATCCTTATGGGGTAATTATCAATTCTAGTTTGCTAGTAGCAGTGCACAAGGACGTTCTGGAGGTATTCTCACCATTTGGGATCCTGCGGTTTTTTTAGAACATAAAACTTGGTCTACGAATAAGACAAAATAAGAAATTGATTTGGGAATATATTCGTTCTTTTATGTCACATAATAATGGTGATTATATAATATTTGGTGACTTCAATGTTGTCCGAAATTCCAATGAAAGAAGTGGGACAGCTTTCTATCATAACGAACCAGATGATTTTAACCAGTTTTTGATAGATATAGATCTTATGGATGTGCACTTAAGAGGGAGGTGGTTCAAAAGGGTGGATCTCTTGTGCTTAAAAATGGCCAGACTAGATCGAATCCTTGTTTCTAATGGTGTTATGTATTTGTTTCCAAACATGGTTGGTGTGGTTCTTGATAGAATTTGGTCGGATCATAGCCCCATTGTGTTAAAGATCGAAAAATTCGATTATGGTCCCATACTATTTAAGATTTTTCATTCTTGGTTTATGCTTGAAGGCTTTGAAGACACAGTTAGGAATGCTTGGTTAAACGATCATATGTCGTTAGAGAATAGTAAGTTCTCGGTTTTTAGAAATAAACTTAAAAATTTAAAAGAGAGATTGAAGGTGTGGCATAAGGGGTAATTATTAAAAACAATGGTTTGAAAAAAGATCTATTGTCAAAGTTGGATGATATTGACTCACTGTTGGATGGGGGTACACAGGATGGTGATATTGCCTCAGCGAGAATTGATGTGCTAAAAGAATTAGCGGATTTACAAAAGATTGAAGGATTGGATGCAACTCAAAAATTAAAGAAAAAATGGGGTGTAGACGGAGATGAGAATTCAAACTTTTTTCATAGTATGCTTAAAAGAAAAGGAAGAAAGTTGGCTATTTTGGGGTTACTGGTTGATGGTTCTTGGGTTGTTGATCCTGTTAATGTCAAGGATCATTTTTTACGGTTCTATAAAGATAAATCAAAAGTTTTTTCGGGTGTTTTTTCCACTCATCCAAACTCTCAGAACAGACAACTCTCCTCGGGCTTTAAGGAGATGTTGGTTGCGAGGTTCACTGAAGATTAAATTTGCGGTGCTATCTGATCATGTGGAGGTGATAGGGCTCCTGGCCCTGATGGTTTTTCTTTTTGTTTAATAAAAAGGTTTTGGGATCTCATGAAGACATATATCTGTAACTTTGTTGATGAATTCTTTGACACGACCATGATCTCAAATGGATGTAACTCATCTTTCATCACTTTAATCCCAAAAAGAGATAGTCCTTTGAACTGAAATGATTATAGACCGATCAGTTTAATTGGTGTGCAATACAAAATTATTGCAAAGCTTCTTGCAAATATATTGACATTGGTAATTGATGAATCCTGTGCAGTATGCTTTTGTTAAAGGCAGACAGATCCTTGATGGTCCATTGATGGTGAACGAGATTATTCAGTGGTATAAAAGAAAAAAGAAGAACTTAATGATCCTTAAAGTGGATTTTGATAAGGCATACGACTCATTGAGTTGGGAGTATTTATATCAAATTATGTCTTTCATGGTGTTTGATCAGAAATGGATTCAATGGATTAAAGCTTGTTTGGTGTCGTCTCGTACTTCAATTCTTATCAATAGAAGCCCCACAAAGGAGCTCTCTCCTCAGATACGCCTTCGTCAAGGTGACCCTTTATCTCCCTTCCTTTTTATTCTCGTCATGGAAGGTATGTATGTTGTGATAGAGGATGCTGTGAGCCAAGGTGTTTTTCGGGGTGCATTTATTGGAGATGGAGGTTTTGTTGTGTCTCATCTTTTCAATGCTGATGACAAATTGTTCTTGGGAGAGTGGGATGAACAAAATATTGCAAATCTGGTTACTATTCTCAATTGTTTTTATTTGGTGTCAGGTCTTAAATTGAATGTCCAGGAATCTAACCTTCTTGGGATTGGTCTTTATTTTCAACAAGTGGAAGAGATGGCTCTTATCACCGGATGTGCGCTAGCAAGTCTACCTTTTTCTTACCTTGGGTTACCAGTAGGTGCAAACATGAATCGTGTTGATAATTGGAATAAGGTCCTTCAAAAATTTGATAAGCGTTTGTCAAGTTGGAAGGTGAACATGATTTATGTGGGTGGTAGGCTTACGTTAATAAAGTCTATCCTTAATAACATTGGGATTTATTACATGTCCGTGTTTAAAATGTCAGATATTGTGAATTCTTATCTTGAGTCTTTACATTCTCTATTTTTTTGGGGTGGTAGTAGTATGGAGAGAAAGATCTATTGGGTAAAATGGAACCAAGTGTTAAATTCTAAGGATAAAGGTGGACTGGATATCGGAAGTTTAAAAGCTTTTAATTTGGTTTTGCTTTTAAAGTGGAGATGGCATTTCTACAATGAAAATCACGCACTTTGGGTTAAGGTGATCCATTACATTCATGGAATGCATGGCGGGTTGGGTGAGTCTTCTTTAAAACCGAGAGGAGGGGGGTTTGGTCTAATCTCGTGAAGATTTATGATAAGCTTGATTCTCTTAATATTATTCCACACTTTTTTTATTAGAAAAGTTGGTAATGGAAGAAATACTCGTTTTTGGAAGGACATTTGGATTGATAATGTGAGGCTTTCTTCTCATTTTCCTAGACTTTTTGCATTGGAGGAGGAGAAAGATTTTTCGATGGCAGATAGATGGAATGCAAGTGGTTGGGTTTGGATATGGATTCGTCAATTACGTGATGGTGGAAGCACGACCTCTCAGTTCTCAACCTTGACCATAGTTCTTTCTCATGTTATGTGCGTCGACTGGGCAGATAGTTGGGAGTGGGGTGTTGATCAATATGAAGGCTTTATTGTTAATAACACTAGAAAATATATTGATTCGATTTTGTTGCAGGAAGGCATGATTCAGACGCGATGGTGCAGGCTAGTGCCTATCAAAGTTAATATTCATCTTTGGAGAACTATTCATGATAGGCTTCCCACTCGTTATAATTTGGCTTACAGGGTGTAGACATGATTTCGGTGCTTTGTCCTTTATGCTCTACTCAGATTGAAGTCTGTAGTCATGTGTTT